CGGGTACTGGCGGGTACCCCTTGTTTTGGTGGTTTTCAAGGGACGCCAGAAGGAAAACTATCTTTTTGGAGAAGCCTCATTTATACGTACATGTTTCCAGCCTACAAACATCAACCTAAGCGCCAAAATATTGGGAAAAGGCTCGTGTTCCACCCGAGAAATAAGAGAACCAAACACACCTCCGTAAAAAAATGGAGACCTTTTCCGACTTGAACCTCTCTCTTTTTTTCGGTTCCGGGTTGACCCACCACTTCGACGGCAAATGGATGAATTACCGGGATCGTTTTGGCCCGTTGCGGCGCGCGCCTCGAGCATGCCGTTGCTGAAGCAGCCCAGGTCCCCGGTGCAGTAGAGCCGCCCGAAGGCCGCCTGGCGGAGGGGTGGGGTTCGGGGAGTGGGGAGAGGGGAGCGGGGGGAAAATGGGAAAATAGCAACACGGGAGAGGAATGAACTCTTACAGTACCCTTCTTTTTAGGATATCTAGTTTCACAAAATAATCCGGGGGAGGGGGGAGGGGGGAGGGAGGGAACAGGGGTGGAGGGAGGGAGGGAGGGGGGGGACGCGATGGTGTTGTAACTGGGCTGGTGTTGGATCTTATAGCAAGAACGAATCAGGTTTAACTGGGCAGCACCTAATAACCAATGTTTTGCACTTGCGGCTTGGCGGAAAATTATACACCAACTAAAAGCCTGGAGCCTGATTTGCAAAAACTGGATGGCTGGGGTTCGAACCCATCGTGACGATCTGCATCGATGCGGCAGACTCGATCTCTTCAAAAGTTGATCAGTTGACTGCTGGTTTCCATAGAAACGATCGCCACTTTTGCTCGGTGGTTTCTGCTCCCCTGCAGAAGAAGTTTAACTTTGAGTGGTTTAATGGAAAACCCATCAGTTGGCAAAAAGTTAACGTCCTAACAGCCAAGCAAAATGCACCAAAGTTTGGAGGGAGATCCTGAACGAGCGCTGTAGGGGGTGCTGAGGCGGTTGTCGATACCCGGGAAGCTTTGGGCTCGATTCGCGGGAGGCTTGGCCATCTATGACGATCTTCTAGATGGTCGAAGTGACGCTTGAAGGGACTGCCAAAGTCTCACTTGCCGAACGGACCCAGAAATCAAGGGTGAACCTCTGAGAAGTGGGAGAGCAGTTGAAATTTAGGTCCGTACATGTCGATTGTGCCAGTAAAATAGGAGCAGATCTCCAAGGTCTTTAAAGCAGGACAGGTCGACTCTTCCGGCCATGCGAAAACAACATAACACCGTGTCTTTTCTTAGAAACAAATGAGCAAAGGCGCCACCCACTGGGGATTCGATTGGTGTCTCCTGGACCCAAATTGTGGCTGAAAAGATTCCACGCCCCAACTACCAAGCCGCAAGTCTGCCAACCCAGCAAAAACCAACTGTGCGCCAAACATCAGATTTTCATATTCATATTCTGGGTGAGTCTTACAATAGGGTACCCCAAAATGGATGGTTTTTGTTTGGCTTCGTTTAAACCAACCTTCAAACTACCCATAAAAAAAGACACACCCACTTGCCACCAGGACCTAGAAATTCGAGGTCATGGACAAAAGTTGGGGGAAACCAAAAGGGAAAAAGGCGGATGTGCTTTGGGCACCTATGTCTAGGTCCTCCAGTTTAGAGAGGTTAGAATAAGGGTACCAACTTTTTCCTGTAGTCTATTTTAGTACGGGAACCCTCCCAACCAAAAGAGGGGACAGAAAGCGCACCTAGCTGGGGGACCTAGAAACCCTTGGCTGCAAAAACTATCCATCTTCGAAACCCGAAGCTGAACGAGGAACCTCCCGATAGGGAAGACACCAAACCAATTTTCGTGTTGGAGCCCCGACCCCGACACCCCGACACCCCGACCCGGCCGTCTGAACGAACTTGGCTTCCGTGAGCTCCTTGCGGCGCCAGTAGCTGGCCGCCAGCACACCGCCGAAGCAGATCCTCAAAAATTTCTCGCTCGCGCCAGCGACGAGTGACATAGCGCTTGGGCCTGAAAAATGGAGTGCCAGAAACTCGGTTGCTTTCTGCTCCCCAGAAGAAGTTTAAGTTTGAGTGGTTTAATACGGAAAACCCATTAGTTGGCAAAAAGATGCTCAGTCCTAACATCCCTTGGCAAAATGCACCAACGTAAAGTTCGTTGCGAAAGAGCTGGCGAGGTGAATACAACTATTCCACCTTTCTTGGGGGGATGCCTCAAGTACATCTTCTCTTCGGATTGGTCCATGAGCCCGTGAAAACGGCCCCCGGCGCATCGAAGTGAGGAAGCTCAGGCTCACGGTTGCACACACGCTGACCACACAAAACCCTCACATGCAAATACCGCACACAAACAAAGAAATGCGCTGGGATGGTATTGGCAGTAAACCTCGCAATGCATGAATTCATGGTGAGGCACAGCTCGCATTTTGATGCAGGAACTTGCGAATGAACGCGAAAGGGTTCGAGATAACGACAATACATGACAATGTATGATACGGAAAGGGCAAGGGAAGCAACAATAAGTAACAAGCAGCCTTGTTGATCAATAGTGCCCCATTCCAACGTGGAATGCGTCACTTCGTGAGAATCGCCCCCTTTGTATAACGAATCCAGGGTCAACATCGATGCGGAAAGAACCTTTCCGTGATACCCAAGTGGTTGGCCAGTTGCTTTCTTGTTTCAACATCACAGAAACTGGCCCTAAATCAGATCTTGGCCAATGGATACAACGTAGGGAAGCCTCTGAAAAGGGCTCAACAAATGCCACGGACTCACCTGAAGATCCTTCAAGATATGCGCACACAAAGGACATTGAACCATCAATGAGCTCCCTAGTTCTCGTGGGGGATTTTTGGAGCTCGGTTTCCATGTCCGGAACGAAACTTGATAGAGCATGTTGACCGAAACTCAATCAAGAAATCCCCGGTTCCTCTTGGCCCTTGGGTGCTTATCGAGTCTGGGCAGACGCTCGAATCCATCGAAATCGCACAAACAAAACACTTCACCACTTCCTCACTTGCCCGAAGGACCTGAAATCAAAAGGCTACCTTTTGGAGCCTTCAACACAATATGGTTGCCAAATCAGGGACACAAGAAGGTTGAAAGGTTGTCGTTGGGTAACGGGGTTTAAAAGAAGCTTAAGGACGCTCCTTTTATTCAACGTAACTGAACACGCAAAAAGCACTTCAGCTGGTGTAAACTCACTCCATTAAAAAAGAAAAAGAACAAATGTGAGTCACCATCAACACCTCTGAGAGAGGTCGACTTACCATGTAAAAACTAGTTCGAAAACAAAGGAAGTCCAAAAAAGGCAAAGGGCAACCTGGTATACAGAGCTATATTCCGTTGATTGGGAAGCATAAACTGCCAAAATCGCGTCTGGCCCTGCACTGCCCCCCCCCTTGGTTCGTGTTATATTCAACGGCACTCTGGCACTCTTTAATGAGGAGTATTGGAACATTCCGGGAAATGAATAGGAATATATAACATATGGGCAACACTACTTGTTTCCTCTAAGAGGCCCAAATCAACCACAGACCCTGGGGGACGGGGGGGGGGGGGGTGATAGGCAGAGTTCCACCCACTTGTTGTTTCTTTACAGGGCAGACTTAAACCCAGGCGTTGTTGAATTCCCCCAAAAAGGGACAGTTCTGGGATTAAGTGTACTTGGAGTAGACAGCAAGTGGAACCCTGAATATACCCCCTACTCCAACTTGTGTTGGTTGGTATCATGTCAACCCTGTACTAAAAATGGAGGCACTTACCATGGAAAACCCCAAGCAAAGTGAAACTACCTGGCTTTTGGGTATCATCTCAACCCCCAAAACCCGGCGAACCCCCAACGGACGTGGCTCGCGTGTATTTGGAGGGAGTTCTTCCGTCAAGACGCTCTCCAGACTCCCCGGGGCCCACCACACGGAAGCCAGGCTCATTGGCCATGATGAACCTCAAGCCGAAGGATCGCTGCTCCCAAATGTTCGTTGACTCTTCGTTTCAGAGACCACGGGAACTGGTTCTGTTGACAATTTCAAAAAAACATACTTCTCCAGGCCAAGGGGACAAACTTGGCAACCACATCTGGGGCGCACAGACACAAAACACATTTGAGTCACAATCAAAACCCGGTATTCAAATGGTCGATCCCAGAACCATGCTTCAAGAACTAAGAAGGAGGATATCCGAAGCTATTTGTAGTTGGGATTTTGTAGTTGGGATTGGCCCGTACTAACCTTCATCTACCCGGGTTTTTGATTATGGCTCAGGTTGGCTTTCCTCGCAAGGTTGCAAATGGTCTTCACTAGACCCCCCCCAAAGCAAAACAAAAGCGACATCCCCTCTGTTTCAGGATGATGATGTTTTTAGGTTGGTCAAAACACCCCTTTACTTGGGGATTTGGGGATGACAGGAAACACAATCGAGCTATGGGTTCACCTTGACATGTAACCGCTTCAGGTTGGTTTCTGCATCGCTAGGTGGTTTTCCAGTGGCAACCATCTCAACGCCGGCTCTTTGTAAGTTCCGCCTGTTGGTTTCTCTTGAAAACCAACAGGAGAAGCGGCATCCTTGACTAGGTCCTCCACTAGAGAGGTTAGAATAAGGGCACCCTTTTTTCTGTAGTCTATTTTAGTAGGGGGGGGACCTAGTTGAAGAAAGACACACCAATCCCCACTTCCTGAGCCTGGTCAAAACAACTTTCTCGCCAGACTGCTTTCTCTGCCAAGTACTAGTACCCAAGAAGATGGATTTGGTGTCCAACACGCCCCAACAATTGCTTTTTTCCATGCCCGAACTCGCAAGTACTGCCCAGCATCAGTTTTTGGGGGCGGCTAGATAGAATTCCTCGGTTTCTTAGATCTTTCCATGCTGTGCATGTGTTCGTGTTTCCGTGTATTCGTCTCTGTCCTGCTTTTCTTTCTGGTGTGTCCTTTCATCTTGGTTTTGGACACTGGCATACAACAAAAAATGTCCCTAGAAGCCCAAGACCTGGTGGTTTAAGACCTGAGGGGTCAAAGGCCCTATTTAGGATCTTGGGCTCCTAGGGTGTGGAAACATGGACCAAAACCTGCGTAACCCCCGCTGTCTAATTTTGAGCCACACCCATATGTCCGCAGGGAATGGGGCCTATTCAAGGGCAACAAGCCCGAGCCTTGTCTTGTTTTGGTTGTTTTTGTTCGCGTCCGGAGGGTGGGGTGGGGGAGGGAGCGTGTTGACAAAGGGCGCCGCGTGGAGTATTGTCAACAAATGCCAACAAAACCAGCACCCGACGAGGTCCCAACTCGTACGTTAACTTAACCCTTGACGAACCGGATCTCCAAATGTACCTGAACAAGTTGCGGGTGTTTGGAGCAGCGGTAAACCAAGCCAACTGACAGATCGTGGGGACATATTTGTCTTTGGGGGCAGGGTCCAAACGAAACCCAGAATGATGAAGGTCTGTTACTTGGGGGTCCAAACCTTGTTTCAAGCTTTGGCCCATGATTGCCAGCTATTGCACCACCTATGAATAAACCCTACACATAAACGGATGAACCACCCATCAACTGGTGCAGGATCTTAATGTCGCAGGCTTGGAATATCATGAAATGGGCGGCTCATATTTTGTTGATACCATAAGGAGAAGAGCAGCCTCAAACAAAGACACCGGAAAAGGTTGTGCCGTTTTCCCCCTCCCTCGGGGTTGAACATCGTCTCCTGGAGTTTCTCCTGCTCCCAGCCGTTAGCTCCAGAAACTGGCGAAACCCTAAGCTGAACGAGGAACATCCCGATTGCGGCCGATTTGTTTGAAGTGGCCCCTCCATTTTTTTTCTTGGCGGTTCCCAGCTTTGTGTTGGTAAGCAGAGGGATTAAGATGGATTGATGACTACCCTGAGCATCATTGGACCCTCCATTGAAGGGGTCAGGACCGCATTGAAAGATTTTGGATCTCAACACAGACCTTTCGGAGGGCCCAGTTCGAGTAATGACATACTGTGGAAGGACGGCGCACCAGGTTGACACCGTGGTATTTGCACGGGAATCGAATCATTCTGTTGGGGTTCTGAACGGTGGTGCGAAGGGATTTCGTATCCATCCACAGTATCCCACTGAAAGGTCTCGAGAACAAGGGATCTTCCAAATCATGGACATGATTCACGTAAAATCCGGGAAGGAAAAACCAACAACAAAAGGAGAGAACAAATCCGGAGACGGACCCCGGTAAGGGATCAATGAACAGAGCCCCGTCTCTCAAAATCTTGAGACCCAAAAAAGCCACTCAGCGGCCGGCGAGGGATCGAGATGGAATCTGAAAGATGGGGATCGAGATCCAAAAACGGACTCGAACACGCGGCTACGTCCTCGGCGGGTTCGAACACAAAAAAAGAGAAAGAAATTCAACGACTAACGTTGGAACGAAACTTGGGACCCAGAAACACCTGGAACTAGTTTTCAGGGGGTCTGGAACTCAACCGACGGGAAAACACAAAAAGGAGAAATGATTCACCCGGAGAAGGAGGAGCCCAGCCTAGGTTCTCCAGTAGAGAGGTTGAAATAAGGGTGCCCGATTTTTTTTGCTGTTGTCCATTTTAGTAGGGGAACCCTCCCAACCCGGAAAAAAAAAAAGAGAAAAAAACGGTAACAGGGCACCTAGCTGGACCTAGGATTCCTTTTTAAGGCCCGCGGGTTCAACTCGGACCTCGGGGGCTTTCGTGGGAAGGCTCGTTTCGTTTCCTCGGCCGCGGCGCACGGAGGCGTGGGGCTGCGGCAGCCCGGCCGGGCAGCGGGGCAGCGAGGGGTCCAGGCCGCAGCTGGGCACTCGGTACACCGTGCCTCGCGGAAAACTTCCCAGGGGCTTTGGAGGGCCCAAGAACCAGGGCTAAGTGGTGGGTTCAAGGGCAACCACCTGTTCTGACTTTGAAAACCCCAGGTACAGTCAAAATCATGACCCCAGTGTTTTGGAGCTTGGGAAACCCGTGGCACAAGAACCAGGGCTGCAAACCCAATCCAAACTACCCATTCAGGGTTTCCCCAAATGCCCTAAGGGTCCGAAATGGGCATTCCCTTACTAAGGGCCCGACTTTGAGCCCCGAAATGTGTTTTTGAGGGCCCCTGAGGAATTGGTCGGGGTTTTCCATAGGAGGACCCAGGGGTGTGCATTGAGGGTCATGACCCTTAGGGCTTGGGCGGTTGGGTTTTGGAGCTTGGGAAACCCATGGCATGAGAACCGGGGCTTTTCATAGGTGGCCTTTTGGAAAAATCGATGGGTTTCCCTGGTAAATGGAATAAACCCCATCTAAACCAGGGCCCTCTATTTCTTAAGCAAACCAGGTTGGGTTTGGAGCTTGGGAAACCAGGGGGTGAAACCCAATCCAAACCACCACTTATGAGGGGTGTGGGGATGTTGCTGGCCTCATTCTTTTACCAAAGTCACCCGCGAAGTGGTGGGTTGAAGGGCAACCACCCCATGTTCTGATTTTGAAAACCCCAGGTACGGTCAAACTACTGACCCCAGTGTTTTGGAGCTTGGGAAACTCGTGGTACAAGAACCAGGGCTTCACACCCAATCCAAAACCACCAATTCAGGGTTGCCTCATCAAACTAGTCAAAGCATGAGCCCATGTCTTTTTTATTGCTTGCCTCCAAAAGACAGACACCTGGCCAAACAAATGCCCATGCAGCCAGTCACCCTCTGACACCAATGACCCTGACTGACAGTTGCAGCCAGTGCCGCAAAAAACAAGACACACAGACCAAAAACATATCCCTCCGCAAAAATAAACGAGCACTTCATGCTTCAGTCCAGTTGCCACCAGGGACTTAAAAGGTAAAGGGACATACAAAAAAAGGACAGTGTTTTTTTCCTGTGAAGGAACAGTGTGAAGCATTGGGGACCTGAAAGTGACGGCGTTGCGGTCACTCCGAGAAACCCGTCAAAAGATGTCATACTGTGGATGGCCGCAATCCTGCACCACCTAAGAAACCAGGTTGAAGCCATTAGTTGGTATTTTCAAGGGGAATCGACTCATTCCTTTGGGTGTCTGAAAGGTGGTGCGAAATAAATTTCGCAACCATCCACAGTAGGACTAGAAAGAAGAAAAAAAGCAAGAAACAACCGAGAATACTACTGGGAGATACTGGGAGCTCATACGAGTCTCCCCAAATCCGGGACTCACGCCACCCGAACGTCGACGTCCGTTTCCTCCAAAAAATGGGCTCCCCATTCTGATCCGAAACCAAACCCGACCAAAGTCCGGTCCAAGCTGGAACACGACCACATATCGAGGAGCTTGGTGAATAATTTTGGGCCCTCAACAAATCCACCAGGACAAGCAAAGCGTCCAAAGTCAGGTCGGCTTGCCTTTGGCATTTTGGGCATTTGAAGCTTCGCGTGATCTGATAGCTCAGACGACTGCCACAAAAACGAGCCGGGGTTGCAAGAGCTCTCCGAGGCCCCATAGAAGTTTCGCAGCGTGGCGGTCAGGTTCCGCGTGCCTGGGCCATAGGCCACGATTCTCAACTGGGCGTGGCTCCAAACAATCGAGCCCGAGCCCGGGTTCCGCGGGGGGGTCGCCTCGTTTCCATTTGCCAGTGTGCATTTCTTTTTTGGGGGTTCCATTCTTTGAGCCGCAACCATGGGTATGTTAGGAAACACATGGTTGCTGTCCTTTTGGCTTCCCTCCAAAATGCCGCAAAGGTTGGATCTCCCACTTGGCGGTCGGATCTCCCACACGGGGTGCCCAACCAAAGAAGTCCACAGTCCCGTGGTGGAATTTTTGACAAACCCTGCAACCGGAATAAACCGCCAACCCCTGGTGCGACATGGAGCTTGACCCGTCAACAGTAATCCAATAGCGTCAAAGGTGTGGCGCTGACCTCGCCATACTGGATGTCTAGCAAGCAGTACAAGAGTGGTTCCCCTGGTTTCCACCTAAACCAACCCTAGGGCATCCCCCAAAACAAACAACACATGCAAAACACAACACACACACACACATTTATCATACACACATTGGTGCCTGGATTCGTCCTTTTTGTGCCTGTTGGGTGCGCCAACTTGTCCTTCCTTCCTTCCTTCCTTCCTTCCTTCCTTCCTTCCTTCCTTCCTTCCTTCCTTCCTTCCTTCCTTCCTTCCTTCCTTCCTTCCTTCCTTCCTTGCTTCCTCTGGCACAAAATGACTCCATGTCTGTGACTTGTCCTTGGGTCGACACAAAGTACTGGACTACGCCCCAAATTATGCATCAAGATCTCATAGATCCAATTCCCCCGCCCAATATTGGTGATCAAATAGAAATTGGACAAGCACCCGCAAGCTAAACATCCAGCTTCAAGCATGTTGCTCGTCCTCCCGAATTGAATCCACATCACGTCCGAACAGTTCCCCGAAATCATGTTCACGCAACATGCATGCCGCAAAAAGCTTTCCCAAATTGATGAAGGTATTGGTGATTGGTTCAGCTCTTTGGTTAACATCATACGTAAGTGATGCGATTTGTGCGGCTGCCGGCCAGGATTAAAGCATTAGAGTTGGGGTAGTCAGATTCAAATCGCCAAATCGGTCTGATATGGTCTGTGGAAACCCATGGGGGTGCGATCTTTGCTCCAACCGCCTGCCTTTTTCACCTCCAGGTGACCTTTTCGGTTTGTGGTTTGCCCAAAAAACGGCTCGGAAAGGTCGAACACCCAGAAACCAAAGGCCGGCACCCGGGCCCCAATTTGAAGCTGTTTAATCAACCATGTCCAAAGTTCCCCTGGGTTTCGTTAACCAAAAAGCAGTTGCAAGCTGGGACCCAGGCCACGTGAATCATATATACCAGGTAAAGGCAGGTGAGGTTTGTAAAAAGCCTCGTTGTTTTGCGAGTTTCAAAGGGATACCATTTGTTTTTTACTCCTTCTCGGTTTGCAGTGTTTCGTGCTTGCACTTTCAACCTCGAAATCGCCAGCTTTTGGAACAAGTGGCACACAGCACACAGCGCGACGGCTTCAGCTCGGAGAGTCTCAAGACTTGTCAGCACCAGTGCCCGAAGTATGTTTAACTTGGGCGCTGTAGATCCCCCAGCAAAAAAGTGTTTAACTTGTTGCTTTTTTGTCTTTGCGACTCGCTCAGTGCAACTAAGTGCGCGGCGTTTTCTTGTTAGGGGGGGGTCAGGCCCCAAAAGCAGCAACAGCTATTTAACTTGTTGCTGGTTGAAAGGAAACATGAGGGGAATCCAAAACGTTAAAGTCTAAAGATCCAACCCAACAGCAGTAGAGTTAAGGGCAGCCAAGGGCAGCCAATGGCAATTGTTGTGCAAAACCTTGGTTGCTGTTGACCCCTCTGCAAGAAGCTTAACTGATTGGGGGTTTACAGGAAAACAACTTTATTGCCCAAAAAGTTAGTTAAAGTCTAAAGATCCAACCCAATAGCAGTCAAGAGACGTTATCGTTTTAGCTATCGTTGTGATATCGCTTTTGGTCAGCTGCGAAGTCTGGCCAATTTGCTGCCCAACAAGCTGTGTTTGTCCAAGCTGACAAACGATCGTTATCGTTTTTTCTTTGAACTCCCCTGGTCGCTTTGTAGCGAGACGTGCCAAATGTTGGACACAAGGGACCTCTGAATACAAAACTGAATTCAACGTGTTTCTTTTTTTTACAACCTGTGCAGAAAGAAGCAACCCATCAAACAACCAAGAAGACCATTGCTGGTTGCCTACTATAGTGGCTTTTGATTGAGATCCACCGGGCGCCTGGAAACAACCCGAATCTTAGTCTAGGTCCTCCAGATTTGAGAGGTTAGAATAAGGGTGCCCGTTTTTTGTTTTTCTTCTTCTTGTTTTTCCTGTAGTCTATTTTAGTAGGGGAACCCTTACCCAAAAAAGTTGGTAGAAGGGCACTAGGGGACCTAGTAGTGCTTCAAATCTGCCATCGTTTTTCCCGCAACCTTTCGTAAGGCGCGCGTCGAATCTGCCGCGGGGCGAACCGCGCGGTTGGCCAGGGCGGTGGGCAATGGCTCTCCCACCGTGGTGATGTGCTTCAATCTTTCCAGGGGAGCGCCCTCAGGATCTCGGGATGCTGGACCCCTCTTGCTGGACCTCTCCACTTGGGTGTTGGACCCCTCCTCTTGGGTCTTGGGTTCGCCAAGCTAGTATGTTGTTGAACACCTAGGTTAAGTCCCCGTGTTGGGGGTTACCCTCCACTTGGGTCTCGGATTCGCCAGGTCAGTCAGTTGTTGGAAACCCGGGATAAGTCCCCCGATTGGGAAATTACCCGAAGTGGCCAACTTGGTTTTGGCCGCAACCTCGGGATTGGCGGACTCCCTGGAATTTCTGGCAGGCTTTTCGATGACTCCAGGCATCCATTCGATTTCCAGAGCACCAGATATGGTGACACGTACCCCACCACTACCCCCAGCTTAACCTGAAGGGTATATTTGGGCGCTTTGACCTTCTGACACAAGACGGCAAATTCATGGTGGATCTGAATCCGACCAGTTCATGTCTCTTGGGCATTGTTGGGCTTTGCGAAGAACCCTCGTGGATGTTTTCTTTTTGCTTCAGGCGCTTTGAAGTGGAGAAGCAATGTTTCATCCAGAACAACCCAGTGATCCATGAATTAACAAAAAAAAAACCTAAAACCTTTTGCCCTTTCGGGGGACTCTGGTACGCTTTCCAAAATGAGACCTCGGGTTCCTATGGTGGGTTCCTATGGTGCCACGGCTGGCAATGGCCTTGAGACCTCATGACGATGAAAAATGCCTCGGTGGTTCCTAAAATGAACTTGCGCCACTGTTGAGGGAATCCCAGATTCCGCCACACATGCCCCCTTTTAAACGGGTCTGGGAAAAGTAGCCACCCCTCTTTGACTTCCTAAGATTGAGATAATACGCATGTGTTCAATGATAGTTACTTGGCCATGGGTCAAAGCCAGATCGTACCCCCAGTGAACATCCCAATCCCCACTAGAATAGACAAAAATGGGTGGTGCACCTACCCCCAAATGGTACCATTGGTTTCGACCCGCAGCCATGTGTTCAATGAAAGTTCCTAGAGCAATCCTCACGTTGCAACCACTTTCACGGAGGCAAAGGCAGCCAGAGAAAACCCAAAAAAAAAGCAGACAGCCGCCTGCACCTCATGCACGTCGAGCAGTAGATCCAGCACCGACGGGGTAATCATCAGCACGTCCACATTGAACTTCTGAATGATCCTAGCCTCCGGGTCTGAAGGCCCATCGCCACAAGAAACAAACGACAGTTGCTGTCGGCATATTCTACGGCGAGCTTCACCCGGGGGGTGCACCTACCCCAAAATAAGATCCCATTGGTTTTGACAACCACAGCCGATTGGAACTATTGTGGCCTTGGCAGCGTTCCTTTGTGTTTTGCTCAGTACGTTGAGGGTCGGAGCCTGAGTCAGTCTCCCCAAACAAAAAAGCGAAATCAGCCCTACACCTCTGCTCAAAAAAATGCACAGTTCACAGACCAAACTACAAACATCTCATCGGTTTCGGGCGCTCATGAAACAATGTAGCGCCAAATAGAAACTTCCTATTCTAAGCTATTCTGAATGGACGGTCGCATCCCAATTAATCCAAACAAAGCTTTCAAGGCGCCCAAAAGCCATGGACATCTCAATTCGCTCTGCCACATGTTGCTGGCTTACCTCAATCCTGATCTGTCATGAAATGCCAAAGAGGCGGTTTTGGCATTGTTCCGGAAGTGGCTTCAAGCAAAAGACTGCGGAGGGAAGGTGCATCAAGCTGTAAATAGTCCGCTTTAGACCTTGTGTGGAGTTGAAGATCACGCCTCCAACGCGTCCACCGATAGAAATCCATCACCATCTTTACTAGGTCCTCCAGATTTAAGAGGTTAGAATAAGGGTGCCCGATTTTGTGTTTTTCCTGTAGTCTATTTTAGGGGAACCCAAAAACCAAAAAAAGTTGGGTGTGAAAGGGCACCAATTGCTGGGGGACCTCGTTTATCACGCCCTGATTCTCGAAGAATTGCAGAGGCCCAATACCCATGGCACCCTTTGTCTCATGTGGCCATGGGTCAAAATCCAAATCGGTTAGCCCCCGGTGAACCTCCGATTCAATCCAACCACTCAAATAGGAAGCCTAAAATGGGGTGGTGAATTCACCTACCAACCAAAATGGGATCCCAAAACGGCTTTGACAACCACAGCCTCATATTTTTTGCGTCATCCTCTCACAGTCCAGCCCGCTGCCCCTCCCTCCCCAGCGGAGCTAGCGGAGATGTGGGATTTTGAAACGGCCCTGAAGCCCTTCGATCAGTTGGGTTACAATGTCCTGCTTCGGTTTGAACATACCTTTTGTTGGTTAGGCGGTCTTTCGTTGAAGTCCACAGATATACTACCATATTTGTCTGTTTGAAGGACACCCCATGCTTGGGTGACCCTAAATCGCTTCCAACTTCCAACCAATGGGTTCTAGGATGCTACACACACGTAACTGTCTTTGGTGCAAGCTGGAAAACGTCACAAGCGTCCCCGACTTTTTTCATCTGTTGGAAGACTAGGTCCTCCAGATTTGAGAGGTTAGAATCACCCAACCAAAAAGGGTTTTAAAAAGGGCACTACTCGGGAACCTAGAAGAGAAAGGTTACCTCCCTCCCCCCCTTTTTGGCTTCGACGCGAATCCGGTCACAGGTCACCGAGGGCTACCGAGGCGCCATGTACTCGGGGCTTTTGTGGCCCTCGCGGCTGGCCACCACCAGACTTCCCCCGACGATGAGCGCAGGAAAGATCTCCCACTCCTCAAGCAAGGAAACCAGGGGGACACCAGAGCCCCAGACTCTGGGGGTTTCAACCCTCAGCTCAGGGACGGTTTTTGGGAAGACCCCAGTGGATGGCCCTGTGAAGATGAACTGAAGGTCTCAAATGCTCTCTGGGCCCTATGGAAGTAATGGATGTTATTTTTGTTTGTTTTTGTTTTTTTTTGGTGAGGGCGGAAGGGTGGATTCGAAGGGAAACCAAAAGGAAACCCAGGGCACACCAGAGCCTCAAAAGCTGGGGGGTTTCAGCCCTATGGGAGGAAATCCTTGGAAGACTATGCCCGGTCTGGGTTTGAACCAAAGGAAAGCCTCGCGGAACCTTCGGCGTCCTCCCTACCACCTAATAAACGCGGGTGAGGTCCCCCCCAAACTAAAAATATATATAAACAGCTGGGGTTCTCCCGTTGATTGTTATTAGGGCCCTCTGGTTTTGGGGAGTAAAGAAGTGGGTGCTTTCGAAACTTTCGACATGTAGGGATGTTGACCCGAACCGGAGGTTTAACCTTTTCAGAATGCATCTTCAAGTAAGGGCTTCAATCAATTCAGGCGAGGCTGGGTTTTCTGGCTCTTTGCTTCAGCTGGCTTTGGAGCTGGCTTCCAGAAGGCCCCCGAGTACGACTGCGGTTGGACCTGGTGGGGATGTGTTAGACTATGTGAATTCTAACTTAGGATTCAGGCAGCTCGGGTTCTGGAAAACATGCTCGATATTGTTCGGGGTTGGGGGGACCTTCGTTGTTTGGGGGGTGAGGGTTGACCAACTCATCAGATCCGGAAAAGGCGGTAGCTGAAAAACGGCGTTCCCACACATCGGCAAACGCCGGTACCAAAAAAAGAGACCCTCCAGCTAAGATGCTCCTTGCAAATTAGGTGCTCGGGCTATGATATACACGTACATGCACGTATAACAATAACAACAATAACACAAAGTAGCATTATTTCTACTACCACTACTGCTAACCTACCACTACCACTAACACAACTAGGACTGCTACTACTACTACGACTACTCCTGCTGCTACCACTACTACAGCAACAACTACCCTCCCCCCACCCCCCCGACAACCCAAGCCTGGTCTTTTCTAATTTACCATCCGGCACCCGCAAAGGAGATGCTTTCACCCCATCTTCACGGAAAGTGCCCAAAGGATTGCGTAAGAAACTCACTGCTTCCCTATCTGCCAGATACCCCCTGCCCGTAGACATGTATCCATTTGTATATATATATATACGCACATGGTCACCCCCCATGAACTATATATGTGTAGCTAGTTATTCATATATATATATATATACACATATATATATGTGTAATGTCAGGTAATGTGCATTGCACCGCACTGACTGCACTGCACAGCAATGCAATGCATGGAATGGTATGCTATTATATGTACTATTGTAAGGTATGTACTGCAATTTATGAATGCACTACAATGTATGTGTGCGCACATATATATATATATGTATATGGTACCCCCAGGACTCTTGTCCTTGAATCTCGAATCCATGAGCTACCTGGATGAAGGCGCGTTTTAGAGCGTTAAGCGTTGGCCCCATACTGGATTCAAGATTCAGATCTAGAGTCCTATGCTGGAATCTTTGATCTTAGATGCAAACATTTAAAGCGCTTTAAAGAGTTTGGGGGCCCTCAAGATTCAAGATCTAGAGTCCTGGAATCTTGAATCTTAGATCAAAAACCGCTTTAAAGCGTTTCCTTTCAGTCAGTTGCACCTTATTGTCCTTTTGGACTTGTGCACGCTAAAATTCAGTGATAGTTCAGCATATAGACATCGAACAATTTGTTCTGTTAAAAACTGACTTGAAGAAGTTCACATCAAACCTTGCATATTCAAACAAAACTCTGAATACCAGTGTTTTCCGAGCTTCTTAGCAGGCTTTGCGAAAAGCTGGTTCTGTTCAGGGAAAGCATTTGTTTCTAGCATACCGCTTGGCATTGGTCAAGGCAGATAAGATATGAGCAGATGTGTTGGCATTGGCCAAGGTTCGTGAGCTGACAAACGAGAAGGATTTGCGGATGAGTTGAGATGAGAGATGGAAGGTGCGTAGCAGATATTTGGTATTGGCACAGTTTGTAAGTCGACAAATGAAGAGGATTGGCACATCAGTTGACAGAATAAATCGAAGATTTGTGGGTGGCGCAGTAGAGGAATTGTTTGCTTTATGTTGATACCCTTGCGCCGGTACCCTCACAGAAATGTTTTACAGTCAATTGAGTGAGGATAACATTCGTGATGAAGACTATGAGCAAGAACACTTAACATGGACACATTTTAATTAACATTAAACATATGAGGAGGACATCACGAATTCTACTTGAGAACAAATGTCTGATTGTTAACTTGAAAGCTTTGCAAATGTAGGTATGAAAGATTATGGCTTACACCCCATGTATCATTACACTCTACTGAACTGCGCTTTTACACCGCACCTAACTTTGCATCCGATGCTATGTCCAATTTGACTTGTGTTGACATAGATATAGTTTATGCATGATTGAAACAATGATTAAGAGGAGGAAATCACAAACGACTTTTCCAGAACATAGAAGCAACAACTATTCATACGGGTGGCAAAGTCTTAATGAATCATCTACGCGAGTCTGCCAACATTGTGAAACACGCAAGCCCACTTCTGGTAACATTCGTCCAACATGACCTGATTGTTTTTACATAAGCAGCAGCGTGGAAGGGGGAGGGATTGCACATACATATGTATATATATACATATATATATATATATATATATGTACGTGTATATATATATATATATAGGTGTTATACATAAATATATGTTATACACTGTGTGCATTGATGTATTCCATTCATTTCCTTCGCTTTCTGTTTACGTTGATATATGGACATGCACATTTGGATACACACATTAATGTGACCAACAAACATATTCAATACCAATTATGCAACAGGGATCCTTACATTATACACCTGAACATTGCCTTGTCAATGGTGGTTTCCCCTTATTGTGGTGGAAAAAGCCATGTTTCAAATGGGCAAAATGTATCTCTTAAGGAGCCCTGTGCAATTTGCCATCTTGTCACCGCCATGTTCCTGGCAGCAATCACGATCATCCCTGTTTCTCCCAGGTCCCCTTAGCCAGAGCAAGCCTCACAAAGGCTTGCTGAGGAGCCCGAAGGCGGCGTGGACTGGTCTCACGCAAGTTACCAAGTGGATATTGGGAAACCAAGAGGCAACCAAGCTGAAGAGGTCTCCAATTTTGAGTAACACACCCACGTCAACCTAACATCTGCAAAAAGAAGAGAATACCCGCCCACCGGAAGGAGGTGGTAGGATTCGAACCTACGATGGAAAACCAACAGATTTATAATCTGCCACTATAAGCCACTAAGTCACTCCTTCAAACAGAAGGCTCTACTACCAACGTTTTACTTTGGTGCGTACTTTTTTACGACGCATTTTAGGGGGGCGAGACACATCGAATCGAAGTGCACAGGCCCCCTTTTGGACTTCTTCCCTCTTAAGGGGCTTCATGTTTCTGGGGGGCGGGGGGGTAATCCCAGCACCCGCATTCAGAACTCCTGCGTAGAACCTTCATGGGGCTCGTTTGGTGGGGAAATTTTAAGCGGGTGTCTTTTTTAGGGGGACCTCCGCCCCTCCCCCCAAAGGAGGGGGGGGTTCCTTTTGACTCCCAATTAAAACCAACCAACATGGGTTCCAACTCAAAAACGACAAACAAGGGACTGAACCAAGGAGGAGTAACCTTGCTGGGCCAAAACCAACAGTCCGAACCCCTCTACAGCAAGGTAGCTGTAAATATCCCAAAAACAAACTTTCTTGGGGTGTTTGCTGAACGGAAACCAAAGTGGGTGATTGTTTGGTTGTTGTTTTTGTTTTGGGGGGGGGGGTGCCTGAAAAAAAACGCAATAGGTCCAGTAGTGATATCGTTTCCCTTTACAACCAGGGACTGAAAACACAAAGGCTATGAATCCCCTCCAAAGTGGTTGGTGGACAGGGATCCCCACCTGCATGATGTCCACGAAATTCCAAATGAAACCTCAGACCCATGTTCATTTCAGCCAATGGAAGGTCAGGCGGTTCCAATCGAGCGTCCATCACCGCCCAGAAGTAGGGAGACTTGAAGAGCTGCACGGAGTCCGCGTTCATGGCGTGCTCCTGCGAGACTCGGAACTTCAACATCTTAGGCCTTGATTCCTTTTCCATTCCTTTCAACCATCGTTCTTTTCAACCGTCTGTTTCCGCTGGAGGTTTGGCTTCCGGAAAAGATTCGGATCCCTGGAAAGAATGAAGCTCTAGAATCCTACCATATCAGATGCCCAGTGGAAAAACCAGTGGTTGGTTGAGTTTAAAGGGGAAGCCTTCCAGAAAAAAAGTTGAACAAACGGCGCCACTGGGCAACTGGGTATTACATGAACCCGTAAGCGGGGGCGGGGGGGGGTGGAAGGCCAGCAGATATGGTTGGTGATATAGTGTACCTATAGCTAACGCTATAATATATATATATATATGACATGTATATAATATAGATATGTGGACTGTGTCATCATGTCTGAATAGTTTACTGGCCACCAAGTTTAACAACCTCCTTCTGGAAATCCCCTGAAAGGACACAACTTGCGGGACATCACCGCCTTTTGGGTTTTCATGCAGAGAAGGATCTGGTTTTGGTTGGCCCATGCACAGACGCCCTTCGTTGGATTCGTTCAGTGTCTGACTTTAGGCTATTTGAGGCATTTCCCAGCTGACCAAAGGAGGCGAACCCAAACAATGCCTCAAAGGAGTGCCACTGAAAAGACTGGGCGTGTCATTTCCATTCGCCGGTCATCTGCCCTGTGATCGATTCAATCCTTGCGAACCGGGGCCCGTCCTGGGCCCAGAACCAGGCCCCATGCAACAGATGCGTGTGGTCATAAACGATGCCCTTCGGCTCCCCAGTAGAGCCCGACGTGTAAATCAGCATAGCGACCTGAGACGCCGTCTCCAGCGACGAGACGGTAGGATATCCAAGCCACGTAGGGAACCATAAGGCAACCAACCCCTACCCTAACCATGGTTGTAACCTGGGCTGAACATCCAACGAAGAGTACAACAAAAGGGCGGCTCGCTTTTTGAACTACTTCAAAGGTCCTCTGACTAGGGTCCTGCGCATTCATCCGAAGTCTAAAGACACTCCAAAGGAGTAAGAGGCTTGCTGCTTGACTCTGAGTACTCAAATGTTTCGCCTCAAAACAGGGCACAAAAGGAATGGAAGTGTGCCGAGAAGGGGTCCTGCGGTTGGTCCATTAACAAAACACAGCACGTACACAAACCGCTATGCGTCTTGGGCCTTTAGCACCTGCCAAGAATGGTTTGTGATCATGTCTGCAACTTGGAACACTGGGTACGACTCGTTGGTAAGCTACCACCATTTGTCGAGCTGCTACAAAGGATCCATCCTTTGTAGGGATCTTTCTGAAAACAGAAGCAAACACCAGTTGGGACCGATGACTGACAAATCCTTCAAAATCTGCAAACAACGGTTGCGATGACCAACTTTTAGAACAGAAGGGTTTATTACCTTTCCTGTTGTCGGCAAGTGTTTTTTCTTTGTTTCTTATTGTCTGGGGGGTCAGTTTACTTTTAGTAGGGCGCTGCATAGACAGTCAGTTTGTTGCAAGCCCTACCAAGGGCAGTAAAGTTACCCCCAAGAATGTGAAAGCATGAGGTCTCAGGATGGTTATGCAATTTGTACTGTAATTCCAAAAGTTGAATTAAGAATTGGATCCCCAAGTAAAGCACGACCGGGTGGGTGGGCCGGTTTGTGGTGCGGTGATTTTTGTGAGACTCGGCTCGAGCTCGGATTATGTATTTCAAAAAACAGCTCCCTCGTGGATTTGTCGGTCAGGACGGCAAATCCTTGTCGATCTCTTGTGGGTAAGATGGCTTCCGGTTTGTTTTCGACGAAATCGAGTGACATTGGGGCCGTTTGCCAATATCCATTTCCGCTCCAGCAAACCATGACTGTTCCAATACAGTCTAGGGATCCTGTTAAAGCAAAGACGTCGAAACCAACTGGTCCCAAAACAGGGCAAAGACCCCAACAGGCCAGTGGCCTGAAAGAAGAATCGGGTTGCCCTATTGCAGGCAACAACGACCTGTAATGTACAGTGCGTTTTTTCAGATTGGTACAGAGGTGGCGCAATCTGTCTGAGTGGGGCCGCGCCACCAGTAGAGTTGGTATCCATCTGGATTTTGAAGGGTTTCTTGGCTCCCCTATATGAATGGGTTTTTTTGGTGACCTATATAGTTACATGGAACCACTGCTTACACCAAAACCATGGATGCCATGCCCTTTCACCCGCATCAAGTCCGGCTGAGGCAAGGCTCGTCGCTGCCGAAGACCTCCTCGCAGGGGGAAACTTCCCGCCGGAACAAACAGCGGACAGAGGCCGCGAACGCGAATGCACAAACACACAACAGCATTCCCAAAGACATCCCCAACGACATGACTGGAAAGACAGCCTAACTACAAGCAATCCACCATAACAGTCTTCAACACATGTCCAATACCATCCCCTAAGATATCCTCACAATCAAAACGCTCAAAGACATGCTCAAAAGCTGAAAAGCATATCCAAAGGCATCCCCGCAAACGCCCCGACAAAACCCCAAAGTCAGCCCCTTAAAACACATTCCCTAAAACACACCACGCAAGGACGTCCTCCAAAGACAATCCACCAGGGAAACCCCCACCGACACTTTACATCTCCCGAGACACGCCCCGAAGATACCCGCAATAACAAACCTCAGGTGAAGATACATCCACAGACACCCCCCCCGACAGACTTGTTCAAAGAAATCCCCCCAAGAGACCTTCCAAAGACATCGCGTCCCCGAACACACGCCCAAAGACATGCCCCCAAGAGACCTTCAGAAGACATCCCCAACCTGAAAGACATCACCCATGAAACCGCAAGGACATCCCCAAAACATCCCCAAAGTCACCCCCGAAGACATCACAGACATTGAAAAGGACACGCCCGAAGACATCCCAGGCAGACATCCCCCACCACGCCTTGCGAAGAAATCCAAAAGACGTCACCCAAGACAACCGGAAAGACGTGCTGAACGACACCTGCAACCCTCGGAAGACATGTCTGAAGACATCACCCAAGGCCACTGCAAAGACGCCCGGAAAGAAACCCCCAAAGTCATCCCCAAACACATCCCCCCCAAGGACATCATCCAAGAAGACATCACCCAAGAGAGACGCGAAAACATCCCCAAAGCCATTCAGCCCCCCAAGACACACACCAAAGACATCCAAGCTCGGAAGTACTGCACCTTTCGCGATATCTCCACGCCAAGCTCCAAAGAACTGCGCCTGCCACGAAATCTGCGCGAAAAGCCCCCAAAGCAGCGCTGCACGAATTTCAACCAAATGCTCTAAAGTGCTGCGCCTGCCTCGCAAAGCATAAGGTTGAAGCGTAGCACGAACTCAAGACCCTCCAAAGTACTGCGCCTGTCACGAAGCCAACCTTGACACGTTTACCACACGCATCTAAAATTAGCACGGGACTGCGGCGCCGGAATGAATTCGACCGATTTTGACACATTTCAAGCTCACCAAAGCGAGCTGATGTGCGGCAAGCAAGCAAGACACCACGAACCGACCACCCCTGAGCGTGATTAAATCACAATGGCACGGCGACGCGAACACACAACCTTCCAAAACACTGCGCCTGTGCAGCGCAACTCCTCGCCCGCTAAGAGCTATGATTCCGCACAGGCACAACAAATCCAAAACACTCCAAGATTCGTTCAAAAAACCGCCTCCAAAACCAGGGGCTTGGTGAAGCAGTGCTTAACGTGGCTTCCACTAGCACCAAACTACACCAACACCAACGCAAGCACAAACACAAACATATACACATGTATATATATATATATATATTTGCAAGCACATACGTACGCGCACAACACACAAACAAACACAACGACGAAAACAAACAAAAACAAACAAAAACACGGACACAAACACAAATAAACACAGCCAAACAAGTGCACACAAACACACGCACAAACACAAACGCAAACAAACACACACACACACACACACACCCACCCACCCACACACACACACACACACACATGCGGGCACACACGCACGCACGCCCGCCCGCTCGCACGCACGCACGAAGGCAGGCAGGCATGCACACACACACACGCACACACACACACACAGACACACACACACACACACACCAACTCACATACACATAAACACACACGACACAAACACACCTTCGCACACAAACAAGAAACAACACACAAACAAACAAACAAACAAACAAACAAATAAACAAACAACACAAACAAACAAACAAACAAGCAAGCAAACAAACAAACAAACAAACAAACAAACAAACAAACAAACAAAACAAAACACACAGACATACAAACATACAAACATACAAACATGCAAGCAAGCAAGCAAGCAAGCAAGCAAGCAAGCAAGCAAACAAACCAACAAGCAAGCAAGCAAGCAAGCAAGCAAGGAAGCAAACACGCACGCACACACACACACACACTACCGCAAGCGCAAGCACGCGCATACACACAACCAGAACCAACACAACCACACGCAAAGAGCTTCGCAGAATCGCGGGCACAAGACTCAAATCAAAGGCACAAACAAAACTGGGCTGCCCAAACCGATCCCCCGCTAAAAGTGACTAACCTTTAGTGGGTTAAATGGAAACTACCACAAAACACTAAAAATCAAAAAGGCTAAGGAACCTGAATTTTTGCGGAGCCCAAGAAAAGAAACGGATGTTCCGCCTTGTCCACCGTGGGAGAGCTCAGCTTGGGCTGCTGCACTCGGAACTTCCCCACTTTCAGTGGGCTCATGCCCACCCAGCCGATGCACCGCAGCTCCGCGAGCTGCTGGCACTCCACCTCGAATGGCGATGCTGGGGATGTATGTGCTTATGCATGTGTATATATACATATGGTTGTATGTATGTATATATGTATGCAACACCTCCAAGGACAGGGGGGGGGTGGGGAGCCGTGCATAATATTGATATATGTATGTATATATACATACATATATATATATATATATATGCATGTGTGTTCAAATATCTGCCGACCCCTTGAAGGTTGGTCATCATCATCATCATCATCATCATCATCATCATCATCATCATCATCATCATCATCATCCAGTTGGCGATGCTGGGGATGTGTCATCGTCATCTTATCATCGTCGCTGTCATCATGTTCTTGTATTTAGATTGCGGATCAAGTTAAACCCCGCTTGCCATGTGCCGAATGTTCCGATGCTCGGACTATTTAAGCAGCGCCGTTCCTGATATGGGCTGAAGGATCTGCGGATTTGCTCGAGCGATTGTTGACGACTTTTTGACCATCTCCCCGCGGAGTCAAAGATCGAGTTTTTTGCGGGCGCCCCCGGGGTACTGGACATCATAACCAGAGTTGAATGATACAACAAATGCAGGGCATGCAGGGGATGCAAATTGGAAGGGTTAGGCAAGGGGGAACTGCGAGGAAATACAAGGAAATGCAGGGAAAAATGAAGGAGAATTAATTGAGATGAAGGGGAGTAAAGGGAAATGAGGGAAAATGAAAGAAGATGAAGGAAATGAAGGGAACTGCAGGAAACTAAAGGGAATTTCATGGAAATGAAAGGGGGGGTGGAGGGACATGAAGGGAATGAAGGGAAATGAAAGGAAATGAAGGGAAATGAACTGGAGGCAATGGAAACGAAGGGAAGTAACAGGTACTGACGGGAAATGAAGGGAATTCAATGGAAATGCAGGGGAATGAAATAAAATAAAGTGAAATGCAGGGAGTTGCGGATGAAGGCAACTGAAGGGAAATTCAGGGAACTTAACTGACATAACGTAAGGTGAAATGCAGGGAATTGCCAATGAGAGACTCAAATGCTTCCCATCTTCTGGGGACACGAGAGATGTGGGATGGGCTTTCCTTTTGGCTGGACCCTCTGGGGTTGGAGCACATGCTTTCCCTTTGGTTTCCTTTTCACAACCACAGGTGGGAAAGCCAACCGTGGGTGCTTCGCGTCTAGAGCGAATCATGTAGCTCATTGGGAATTAAGGGTCATGTTCCAAGAGCTGAAAAGCTCAAGTCCCTCTAGCAAAAGGCAAATAAGTGGGTCTGAGAGTCTGACCATCCCTCAACTCTTTCCCCACACCTGCTCCTCCTCCGAAATCAGCACTTGGGCATGGCTGTCTTCCAGGAGATACTGTTTCCTCGCCTGTCACTGGCCGGCCGGCTGAAACTACCCAGAGGTTTGGACACAAGCAGTGGCTTCCTTTGTAGTTCTCGAATTTCCTTTGCTTGCCGCCGCCGCTGCTTTCAAAAACTGGGCACGACTTCTTCTCTTTTTTCATTTTTTGTACAGGCGCAAAGAGCAACGATCGCACAAGGACCAAAGAGAACGGCTCTAAAACAACCGGGGCCCCCAAAAAATGTATGGCACAGCATCTCTACTCTTGGTATGGTAGCTAAAAACTTTGTTTTTTGCAGACCCCCAGTAAAAATGAACAGAACCAAAAAACTAAAAACCAAAAAACATGCCAAGAACAGTGAAGACAACCCTAGTGCTATCACGTTTGTGGCCTAGCACACAGCCAGCAGCCACAGTTGCACCGCCAGCCCCGTCGACACAAGGCGCATGGACCCAACATGCAACCAAGCATGCACCCTTTCAGAAGCTCAGCAGCCCAAACCCCACCACCACCCAAACAGAGCTTCCTGCTTGAGCTGCATGCACGAACCGCAACAAACAACCAGGGAGCAAGGCAAAGGCATGATCCCCAGTGCATCGAGTAATTACCAAGCGAGATCCGTGTTGCTACCAAATCAACAAAAACATCAAACTCATCGAAACATGTTTCCTGTTTCCCAACCCTCCCCCCCCCCACAAAAAAACTGATAGAGTCCAAATAGGATTGGGGCCGTAATTTAGGCAAGAAGGTGGCCTTTGAAAATGAGCAAATGCGCCTGGAATAACGACCAGCACCCCCCCCCCTGGCGGCAAAGCGATGATGTTTAAACAAAGAATCTGCCAACACTACCTCGACAGTATTGTTGCCTGGGCCCCTGGAACGAAAATACAACTTTTTCAGAAAAAAACACTGCGCATCTTCTAGTCAAATACTGAGAGCCCAGGTGAGCATGTAAGCGGGTGTCTCGGGATATGTGGAATACCATACGAACTTAACGGCGCGTAGGGTCAAATCTGTCCGACATGCCGCGCGGGCGACACGAGGCGCGGTTGGCGAACACTCGTGGAAAAACGCACCTTTGAGTCCCAAAAGAGTCCCCTTAAAACCAGGACTCATGAGCTTGTCAAGACCCCAGGCCTCTGTGCTTGGTCTTAAAGGGAACCGCCATTCTTCCCATTTGGGTAAGACCATTGGACAAAAAAAAAAAACGTTCTGATAGGTTCCCTTTAAAACCAACCGGGGAAAATACAACATATTCTTAAGCAAATGGAAGCATTCTCCGGGTCTCCTAGAAAAGATACACCCCTAGGCGAGCTCGCTCCAAAACCAAAACAAATGGCGGAAACTCCTGGTCTCCCTGCCTCCGGCGCGGCAGCGTCAATGGGCAAGTACCCCGCTCCGGCCGACAAAGACGCGAAAACAGATACCACCTGCGCCGCTGCTTTCGGGTGTGTCTCTTTCTGTTGGTCTGTTTTTGATTCTCAGGGGAAAGGAGGGAAAACCGCACTCGATGTTGAGGGTAGCCTTTCAAAGACAGCGTAGGGGCCGGTGGTTTCAAAACCAAAGAAATCTGAAAAAGCAACAGGGTCTCCGGCAACGGGCCACCAAAAGGGCCACAGAAACCAAAAAATGCCCCATCCCAAAACTCCCCCCCTCCTTGAGAAAGGTTTTGGCGAAGCAGTTGCCTTACGGCCGACTTGGAGGCAAACAACTGAACGGCCTGGGCGGTCTCTTTGGGGGGCGAGTCACTTTATGGAAATCCACCGGGTAGCTGCTGTGGATTCTGGTTGGTTTACTTGCAACTGTCCGAGAATCAAGCGTACCAATGATATCTTGTGATTGGTGACCAAGAAGTTGTCGCTGGTTTGTCAACCGAAGGACAGGCCTAGAAAACCCACAGTCCCCCCCCTCCCCCAAGTTTTCGGTTGCGAGTACCTAACCAATTGCCCCCTGCTCGAATTGCGATATGCCGCAGGGATACAGGTCCAGGGGGCTCTTTCCTGGCGAGAGGTTCTCAGTTCGGCGAAGTCCACTAGAAGGCCTTCGCCCCTTCGCCCCTCGCAGGTCTCATTTTCTTTTTTTTTTCTCGGGGGCGGTGGTTAAACTTAGCATTTTTTGCGGTGCAAAATGAATTCCAACCTCTTTCCCTACTGGCAATTGGGTATCCACCCAATTGGGGGAACAAGAAAAGCACAAATTTGGCGGTGCCTGAGATTGACACTCGGAGTGCCCAAATCAAATGGCAAGATCTACCAAGTCCAAAAGAGTCCCTGCCCACCAAGGTTCTTGTTTGAGGGTAATTAGATGGGAAACCAAACAATTTGGGTGTGGGTCAAAATTAACCACCAAGAATTGGACCGCAGGTTAAAATCGTCCATGATTCCATTCAGGCTTGCATTCTGGATACCTATTTTTGACCCACACCCATTTGGGGCCCGCGAATCTTGACACATGAACTTCACAGTCAAGACTACGAATGTCTCCCGAGCACATGGCCCGGTTCCTGTGGAACATATGCAGCATTTAGTGAGTCTCGCCCCTCAAAACAAACACCAAAAACACATCATGACATATATCGCCCGCACCCCGCACGGCCCATGTCGGGAATGAACCTAGGGATTCCATTAAAGCAAGCCATAGGGGATGGTTTTATAGGAGGTCCTTCCCTCATTCACCAACTCCCAACAAAGACAAACCTCTCATACACTGATTCGTAGTACAGGAAACCATTTGCAGGCGCCTATGAGGAGCAGTGAGGACCATCGAGGGCCATATGGCCATGGGTCAAAACCCTGAACCCCCAGTGAACATCCCAATCCCCACTAAAATAGGTTCTAAAATGGGTGGTGAATTCACCTACCAATGGGATCCCATTGGTTTTGACCCACAGCCATATCCCTCTAATGACAGGCCTGGCTCTGCATCATCGGACTCCTCAACTTTCTCCAAGGACCCAACCCACAGTGAGGTTCAGAAGGAACACACAAAGGAAACCGACGAGTTGCTAGGTCCTCCAGTAGAGAGGTTAGAACAAGTTGGTACCTGTTTTTTTTCTTCTGTAGTCTATTTTAGTAGGGGAATCCTCCCCCAAAAAAGGGTAAAAGGGCACTACTTACTGGGGACCTAGGGTAGTAACTGCTTGGGCTGGTCGCCTGATCCAATGTTTTTCGTTGTGCTACCCGCGTGCGGCGCGCGTTTTCACGCCTGTGCGGCACTCCTCGGGAGACACAGCGCCACGATCTGCCTGGGGCCTATGCCTCGCAGGGCATGCGAGGGATACCCAACTTTTGGGTGGCTGCTCGGGGGAAAAGGACAGCAGGCAAACTGAACTCATTCTTTCGGCGGGTCGCACTTTGTTTGGACCAACCCCCAAGTGAGGGGCTGTTTTGAGGGAACCCTTTTTTTTGGGGTAGGGCAATGAAATGGAAAACCACCAAATTTTAGGAGCCTTTGACACATACGATCCCCCACTCCCCCCAGGGGGGATATCTTCCCTCTTTATACATGGTCGTAGGATTTGCAATACTCACCTAAGCAACCCTGGAATGAGGATTCCTCTGTAAATACCAACCAACAATAGTTCATCATGGTTTCCAAGTGGTGCGAAATGGATTTCGCATCCACTGTCTCTGCAGGTGCGAAAACTCAGGAATGACCCAGAGAAACACCACTTGTCTAGGGCTAGGGGTTGATTCCCCATTCTTTTCAACCATCGTTCTTTTAAAAAACCGGCTGTTTTTTCCTGGGTTTTAATGGTTTCCTGAAAAGAAGGAGGGAAGGTACCTCTAGAACTTGAGGAGAAGAGTGCGAAAGCCGGCGCCCGCAGCCCAGAAAATGAAAGGAACAAAGAGCGGCCAAAAATGGCCGCTATTTCGAACGGCAAAAGATCTGCAAATCAGCTCGCGCCCGCCACCCCCTCTAGCCCCCCCCCTTCCCGGCGTGGCAGAGCTTGGCTCTAATAAGGGTCCCTTTTCTGCAAAAATTGCCCTTAACCATTAAAGCCTGCTCAGTTTCGCACAAATTTGGGCCACTGCTCACTTCGATCGCGCATACTGAGCTGACGTCTTCTACCAGGAGGTTGGCTTTCCTGAATCATAACTTCCAGTTTTGATGTCGCGCATCTGGGGCCTGGTGCAGACCCAGGGGTCGGAACTCGAAAACTTGGGGCCAATTGGGGGCGATGACTCGGCCAATTGTCACGAAAAACTCTTGGCAAAGCAAAAGGCAAACCGAACCATTTTCGGGCCGGGCTCCCCATTTTGAGACACACAATTGTGCATGGATGAAATCCCTTCGCACCGTTCAGAGACAATGGAGTGGAAAAGATTAAGGTTCCGTTGGGATTCCGAAGGGTGGTGCGCAATGGTTTTTGTCCATGCGCAGTATGTCTCCAACAAATAGAGGGAAACTCCTCTCAAGCGCAGATGGGAACGGGAAATGAAATAGTTCAAGTTGCACGCGCGCAGAGTTTTGCTCTCAGATGCCTTTTGACACGACTACCCTTGTGGCTTGAAAACCCAGGACGAGTGGCAACCGGGTAAGTGACAATTCTACCATCTAAATTCAGGAATTGAAGAAAGACCAGAGGCTCACTCAAGCTGAGCTTGAGAACACGGAAGGTCATTTTGGCCAAAGAGCCCAGGCCGAGCAAGGTGGTCGTCAGCCCTTGGACCGCTTCCTGGCGTGTGGGCTGGTCTTGGGGCGCGCCGACGCAACCTTGCACCGGGAACAACGGACTCCTGACGCACGGTAACTTACCATGTCATGTTTGGATGTGGTTGGCCAACTTGCGTTTGCGAATCCGAATGTTCACGCAACTTGGTGGTTCCAGGTATCCACCGAAAGCTCAACTTGCGGGATACGTCAATCCCTCCAAGCACTGGTAAAAAAGCTCAGCTAAGCCGTTTGCGCAAAACGACGCGTGCACTTATCGAACATGGACTAACACATGAGTATACGTTCTCCATGAAGGCTATACAGGGTCGACTTTTCATGAACGTATGTTCAAAAGCGCCATGGAAACTTATGGTACGTGACTGCGCTAGTATATATATATATATATACATACAATTGCATACACACATATACATGTGTAAGGTAGATAGGCACCCTGCTGCTGTAGTTTGGAACAGCATCTTGCAGAAATAGGTTTGCTGTTGAGCAAAACGCAATGTGCTGCTTGAGTCAAAGGTGGATGGGTGGCACCAAGCCATTATCAACCCTTGTATATGCAGATATGCATATGTGTGGGTGTAGATCCGTTTAGAAATCCAGCTGTGAGCATTTTGCATGCCCATGCTGTCATTGCGCCAACCTCAAGCGTGCTTGCGATACAGCCACGCCGTTTGAAGAGACCTGCCCCACTGTTTTTGAGCCTTGGGTCTGAGCAGTCTTTCGTGGAAAGAAGACAGCGGCAATGGATGGCTGCAGCTTTTCTCAAAGGCCGAATTGGTCAAACCCGCATGCAAGGTTTGCTGAAGGCATTCCCATGCCTCACCGACACAACAGCATGAGGTAGTGAAGCTGTAACCGATGACTCTTGACGAACCCTGGCCGAGAAATATATATATATATATGTACATGCTATGTGACATGTGCTCTGCATCCGTGCGTGCGTGCCTGCATCTCTCTCTCTCTCTCTCTCTGTGTGTGTGTGTTGTGCAAGTGTGCTGTGCTTTGTGGTTTGTAACTTGCGTTGTGTACTGTAGTGTAGTGTTGTGTTGCGTAGCGTTAACGTTGTGTTGTGAGGCGGTGTGCTGATGTGGTTGCGTTGTCTTGTATTGTGTTGTATTGCGTGGCGCTGTTGGAATGTTGCGTCGTGGTTTGCTGGATTGTGCTGCGCTGTGAATCGCGCGTGCGTACGTGCGTGCGTGCGTGCGTGCGTGGGTGCGTGCGTGCGTGCCTGTCTGCCTGTCTGTCTCTGTCTGTCTCTGTCTGTCTGTCTGTCTGTCTGCCTGCCTGCCTGCCTGCCTGCCTGCCTGCCTGCCTGTCTGTCTGTCTGTCTGTCTGTCTGTTTCTCTCTCTCTCTGTGTCTCTCTGTCTCTCTGTCTCTCTCTCTCTCTCTCTCTCTCTCTGTCTGTCTGTCTGTCTGTGTGTCTGTGTGTCTGTGTGTCTGTGTGTCTGTGTGTCTGTGTGTCTGTCTGTCTGTCTGTCTGTCTCTCTCTCTCTCTCTCTCTCTGTCTGTCTGTCTGTCTGTCTGTCTGTCGGTCTGTCTGTGTCTGTGCGTCTGTTCAAGAACACTTTGGCCCGACTGCGGGGCACACCCCACATGTGTTGAGACTCTGCTTCATAAAAATCGATTAGAGACCTGAGTAGAGACCAGTTTTCCGGCGGAATCTTCTCCTGAAGCTCCGCATAGGTCACTGTCTGCAACAAGTCTGGCAGGTGCAGCGCATTGGCGTTTGGAGACCTGACGAGAAGTGAACACAACGGAGCCGAGCCCGTCTCACCCGCAGACTGTTGGTTCTACAGTTACAATGGTTTGTATGGGAGCTACTAGCACTACAATCGCCAACGGGAAATTTTGGGAGTTGTAGGAACGCCAGGCAAGTCTGCTCCAAAGATCCGACCGATACCAAGTAAACAACTGGCTGGTGGGAAACCAAAGAAAGCAGGTTCCAATGTTCTGCCCTGGCTTGCTCATGGAGGCTTGGAGCAACCCTCTATCTTTCTGCAAATACTCACATGACTGTGGGTCAAAAATGGGTACCCAAACTGGAACCCTGGCAAATGGAACCGCGGACTAAAACCTGCTGTCCCCTTGTGGTTGCATTTGGACCCACACCCACATCCGAAAGCAATCCTGTTCATGGATCAAAGTGGCAGGCAATTAGCTTCTACCGTATTGGATTGTTGGCTTTGGCGTTCAAGGGGTGGTGTCCCATCTGCCCTCTGCAAGAAGCAGGGCTTCAAATCCAAATCCAAACCACCAACTAAGGTAACCTAAGTCAAACAGCAAGTCTTCGAGCCCGTTATCCACGACTCTGAATCAGAGCGTATCAAAACACCCTGTGTGCGAAAGGAGCTTCTTCCCACTTCCCACACCCAGTTTCAACAAAGCGAGCGCCAGCTTGTGCTTGGGGATACGTTGGAAAGCCGGGCTCTTCAGTCAGGGTAAGTGCCTGCTTTCCTAGTGAGGGGCTGAGATGGTCGTCATTTTGTGGCTGACTTCAAAGGGGAAACCTACTCGCCCAAAAAAGACGGAGCAGAATGGTTTCTTGGATGTCCAAGGAAAACCTACCAATTAAAAACAAAAAAATATCTAGCCGGGAAATATCAGGAACCGAACAAGACACACCAACAGTTAAAAACCCTAAAGACACCCAAGGTTCAAACGAAGAAATATCAACATCAAAAAGACTAACCCCGCCAGACATTAAATTTAACTGAACAAGACTGATGAAATTCACAAAAAACAAAAACACTGAACAATCCTGAGGCGGGCATTTCTCCGGTTGCAACTGGGGGACAGTGCCACCTGCTTCTCAAAGAGCTGTTGCACCTGCCGGATTGGATGTCGAGGCAGCAACGCGAGTTGCGCGCGCGTCCTGAGTTTGATTTGGATGAGTGGACTACGGACCCTTTGACTTGGACCCCATTTGGATTTCTGACCTCTACCAAGAGAACTTCACATGGCAACCAAGTCTCAAGGTTTAAACCCAAACAAGCTGTCAGGGACCTTTGGACAAAGTCCATGGCTACATCGTGTCTACCAATGTTCCTGATTTTCATTCAACCTGTTTTACAATGAATCCATCACTGTCAGGGCCCACACAGGGGGTGAACCGGTTTCTGGGCGACTTCAAAATCAAGTCATGATCCTACGAGAAGCTTGTGGAATTATGTGGCCTCGTATACCATGTTCAACCAAGCTACAACTACAAAGCACACCAATGCTTGCAACTGGCTAGCGAGTGCCAATCTCGTTCTAATCTCTCACATGGCTGCGTGTGGAAATCGATGGATTTGGACACCCGAAATGGGTTGGCTTGCCATGGGTTTCCCTGTCAACCAAACACGGAGGGTAGCCGCAAGAGAGCACCGTGAGGTCCAGCCTTGGAAGAGAAACCCCCCATGGACAAGGACCAAGTCTGGAAGCCACAGGGCGAAACACAAAAGTGTAAAAAAACACGGCTACGCAATTCAGCAACTTGGTTAAAATGTGAGGAGGAACAGGAGGAAACCATTTCTGACCACACCCTTCGTGGTGAACCATCTCAGTCGGGAACCCAAACAAAAAAAGGGTTCAGGGTGCAACTGGACACAAAAAAGTCCGCAACCCCCTCCCCCTCCCATTTTCCCCCTTAAACACCAGCCACAAAAACGAAACTCATCTACAAGTCCAAAGCGTGTGTCCCAAACGTGCTACTGGCGTCCCTTACTCACGCAACCAAGTTTGCACCAGGCACCGCGAAACCAAGGGAGGGACCCCTTCAAGTGGTTTTCTTCAGCTCCCCCCCAAAAGACCATCCACCAACTTCCATCTGCTCAAGTCTCCTGGCAAGGAAAACAAGCCAAGCTGCAGGTGTCCTTCAAAACCACCAGTGGACACCACCAAAATACGGAGAAGGAAAAAAAACAAGACCAACTCCGAAACGGGCGCTGGCTTCCGCACCTGGCAGTGCTTGGGGTAGTCGGGCTTGTCCCCCACCGCGTTCGCGAGGCCCTCAGTCAGGCCCAGCCGCTCCGGCGGCAGCTCCGAGCTCTTCTCGGAGCGCAGGCCGGCGCCGGCGGAATGGGGCAGCCGCGTGTAGAGGTACACCCCCCAGACCTCAAACTCACCAAACCAGATCCCAAGATGGGACTCGGGCTTGTCTCAAAACCCCGGAAATGGGACAAGGCTGGTGTATTTTTTTTCGCCGGGGCAGGGGAAACTTCAGGACATGATGCGACAGTACGCGCCCTGGGCTTGATTAAACATCCGGTTGTAGCGCCTTGCTTTTTCTTATGGCCTGGAGCTTCATGGCTGAGCGTGAACTTCAGTACAGGGAGCAGTTGTCGTATCCAATTCAGCAGCGCTCTTTGGCTTTGAACTGGACCCTCGGTGCTGCGCCGGCCGCGTACGGACGCCGGCCGAGGCGTGTTTAGCTCGACACAATGTGTGAGACATCGCTGACGATTGGAGCGAGCTCCAAGAAGAGGGGCGTGGCCCCCAGGGTGGCTTTGGCGTGTACAGGGGCACTCTCATAAATCAACGAAAAAACATCTACCCTAAGTGGGCATGACGAGCACAGCGCTGTGGCTGCATTGTTTTTTACTAGGCCCGGGTTTTTAATTGCCCCGGGTCGGGTTGTTGGTTGTGCAAAAAAACAGCTCACGGAACACTTTGTGGCGGGGGCGCATAGGCAACAGCTGGCTCAGAGTCCTCGGCTGTTTGCAAGATCTGTTCTGCACAGCCGACTTGTCGACAAACATATTGTGAAATACCGCTAAGTTCAGACATGTCAGAGAGCACATGCATCATGAGCTCTTCTAGCTGGGGCAGGAATCCCTTGCTCAGCGGTAAACACCTCCTCGACCGCTTGGCCTGCAAAGGGGACAATGTGGAGATGAACTTCGAAAGATCTTCGCAAGTTGCAAAGTGGCACCGGGAGGAGTTTGATGCGACACCCGTAGAGATGGGTGTTCTCGATGATTGCAAGCAAGGGCTCGGACAGCAGGCACATCATAATTACTTGATTGCAAAGACCACCAGGAGAGTACTTGCGGCTCAAGTATGCGTTCTACCACGCTTTGGCCAAGACGGGGCCCGGTTTGCGATGAGGACGGCTGGCCGCTGACGCATCCAGCGGCATCATGATCACGAATGTGATTGGCTCCTTACGCAGTCAAATCCCAACCCAGAAGGCGTCCATGCAGGCAAGGATGCACGTACCGAAAATCGGCAGAGCATACATGCAAGTGCCACAGCCGGTGAGAGGCCGGCGCTAACACCTTACCATTAGGCGTTTGGAGGTAGGTCCAAATAATTGCCTGTGATACTTTGTGACAATCGCTGTATTGACAGTTCACAGTCATCGCCGTGCCGGTGGTAGGTGCTTGAGCCCAGGCCCTTGAGCAGTGCTCAAAACCCTGCGATGGGTGTAAGGTTTATATCGCCCTTACCGAAAGCCAATACACTAGGTCGTAGAACCAACAGAGGTTTTGGATGTTGCTCAATTGGGATGAATGACCCTCGTAAAACCTGTGACCATGTTGACCCAAGAGATCAAGAACAAACAGTGAGGCCCATCCGAGCCAATCACAACTTTTCCGTATGAAGCTCAGTTCAAGGTGGCACAAAGCTGACTTTCCAGTTGACGTGCAATGGCCATGCGGGGACCGCCCCACCAATTTGGCAAAGCGTGCTTACCCCCTTCAAAGGGATACCCAAGTGAGTTTCTTTGGGAGAAACAGGCTTACCTGTACGTAGGATCGTGCCCGGGGCACCTCCCAGGAAACTTAAATGCTTGCCAGGGGCCAGTGGAATCTCCTAGCAAGCCGCCAATGGAATTCACTAGAAGTTCAGCTTGAATTTTCCTAAAAACCCGAGCACGTCCACGTCTCCTTCAAAACGGATGCATCGCCCTCGCGTTCCGAGTCCCGGGTCCGTGCCGGGATGCCACCAGAATCCATAGTCCCACATAGAGCGTCAGAAAGGTTGCCTTCGGACGTCGACTGTCAGACTGTCAGCGGGAGGAAATCAGGCACCCAGGTCAACCTCTTCTAGGTCCTCCAGTAGAGAGGTTAGAATAAGGGTACCAACTTTTTTCTGTAGTCCATTTTAGCAGGGGAACCCTCTCCCAAAAAAAGGGGGTAAAAGGGCACTACTGGGGGACCTAGTCTTTGTAGGGGCTGTCGGTTCACCAGCGCCTGAACCCGTGTTAGGTCACTTGAACCCACCAGTCAACCCGTTTGTTCCACCTCGTCGCGAGCCAGTGTGGCCGGCACCGGTCCCAAACATCCTGCGATGCCTGCTGACAACCTTTACCATTTGCTGGGTCCAAGCTTTCCATGTCGCACATGACAATGTGTCTGAAAGCGACCCCCCAAAAAATGGTTGGTGTCCTTTTGGTGTCCCTTTAAACAAAACAAACAATCAAGTCCAAAAAAGACCGACCTGCATGGACATTCACAAGGACTTGGCTCAATGAATCCACCTTGGGGGTTTTCCGATGCGAACACCTCCTTCCAAGGCATCAAAAGGGTCTATGAGTGCTAGCATGGTCTAATTACTCTCCCGCGGATTGATCCGGAACCCAAAAAGCAGTGGCGAACACAAACCTTTTGAGGGATGCCTTCTCCCTCAGGAAAACTGGGTCTGTCTTGTGTTCTAGACCCCCAAAGTGGTTGGTCTTCTTGTGGGTTTCGATTTACAAACCAAGAGAGACACCCAAGTGTGCTTTCTTTCTCAGAAATTCTGAGAAGCATCCTGTGGGTCTGTTTTGAGAGGTGTCTGTTTGGGTGTTGAGTTTCATGAGTCAACCTATATATATATGTAACATGTATATACAATCTGTTCCGGGCTGTCCGCAGATCCCCTGCTAAAAGCCTAACCTTTGATGGAAGACCCACTCAACAAAGCTCCACTCAAGCAACACCCCAAGAACCCAAGGAACCGGATTCAAGTTTTCTGAGAAGATACTTTCGGCTCCTTTCAACCCGACTCCGGACTCCGGGCGCGGCGGCCGGCGGGTCCCTGCATTCCCTGCCTTGCCCTGCAAGTCCCAGGCTTCGTTGGGGTTCTGGAAGTCCTGATCACTTGCTGCTTTGATAGGCCATGAGATGGAATACGAGCATTTGACCCATTTAAAGTGCTAAACGTGTGTACATATTACGTGCATGGGATTGTTTGGGATGCACCAGCTTCCCTCCAATTGGTGGTTTGGAGCCCGGTGCCATGGTTTGGTGTTCCGGAAATGGCTTCCCAACGAAAAGAGGGTGCGATCGGACGGCAAGCCACAAGGAACCCTGACAGCACCCTCCTGGAACCATGCTAGGAGCCCACGATAGGAGACATGCGAAAGACGAAAAGAAGCCGGAAGCTGGAAAAGTATGGGAAGGAGCCCGAGAGCAAAGGACGCGGCTTTGCGTCGAAAGAGGTCCAAAGCGAGCGTCCTTTGCCGGATTCCAGCTCGAAAAGCGGCCTTCATCGTGGTATCATGAGCCCTAAATTCTCAACCGGTGTTAGTTGCTTCTTTTGTCGCTGTAGAAATGTTGTCGTGCAAGGAACCCTGCCCCCCTGCCCCGTGTTAGTAGTTTTCAAGGGACACCAAAAGGAAAACTCGCCGTTTTCGAGGTCCCCTACAAAAAGGACGCACCCCACATGGAATCCAACCAGCCAGTCCAAGGACCCAACAAAGAGCAGGGGGGGGGAAATTGATCTCTTCTCGCAAGCTGGGAAGCACAAGCGATGCGACGATCAAGTCCGGTATTGCCGGGGGTCTACACTCCAAACCCCACGCCTCTGGCAACTGTACCCTGGCTTGAAAGATTTTCCGGCTCTCACTATATGACTCACCTAGTCGGAAGTCGAAGCAAGCCTCTGGCGCTTTCCTGCGCCAATCTTCCGTGCGAAAGCATTGAAACCGTTCCGAGAAGTCCTGCCCTTTGCAGTTGCTCCGTGTTCTTGGCTCCCCCCCAACCCTCCCCCCAACCCCCAACCCCAACACCCCCCCCAACCCCAACACCCCCCCCAACCCCCCAACCCTGAACACTTGGACAAGGTTTGAGGTGTCCTTCGCCTGAAAAAGCTGCCCCGAGAAGCTGCCGACGCCGCACCAACTTCAACCCTCCAAGTGCTGTTGAGCCCGGAAATCAAGCTGGAATCATTGGAGGTGTCTCCCAAAGTGAGCCTTTGATCCCCTCGATACTGGATACTCCTACATCAAGGGGTGACATGTCCGTCCAGATTCGCCTCCCAATCCAAAAGACTGCCGGGCCAGCGGTCGACTCCGCTCCTCCGGAAATGGCCAGCCAGCACGCTCCATGGCGGAAGCAGGAAAATATGGCCGGCCGCCGGCCGTTGCCACAGCTTTCACTGAGACCTGCAATTGGACTTACGCTCCTTTCCACCAACTTGGAACCTAACTACATATAATGGTGATGGCAAAAAACAAAAAAACAATCTGAACCAGCGGAACCCATCGATGTCTGCCCAACTAAGCGATCAAAAGGACAGGAAAATAGTACCAGCACTTGTAAGGAGAGTGCGCTCCAGTCGCTTCCCACCTTGGGCACCCCAGCATTTCACATTCAAACTCCGGGTCTCGAGCAACTAGTCCATAGGGACCCGGAGAATCACCTGCAAAAAGCTTCACGTGCTCGATGGCGTGTCCGGTTTTGAATCCCGTGACATTGTCCTAAGAAACAACAGGGAACCCATTGTATTGGTTCCCCTCGTGAAGAAATCGTCATTTGCCTCATCATGCGCAATGAAGAAGGATGTCCGTGCATGATCTCACGCTGATTTCATCCGCGATGAGCCTTGCGAACGTAGCCGGTCAATCAACACTTCTCCAAACGCAGACCCAAGCATACCAATCACCCACAACAATACTTAGGGTCCAAGTTGCCACCGGAACATTCGGGGTAGGACCGCCCTCTGGACACAAGGCCTGTCAAGCCCACACACTCAGAACATCTGAGGCCTGGCTCGCGCACGGCCGAAGCTTCCACTCGGTGGCTCACCCAACTCCCGGGGCCCAAAAAGTACCTCACGTCTCATAGAACTGAAAAATAAACCCAGTGGAAGAAAATAAGCAGATGTCCAGCGGTGACCGCGATTCCCTTTAAAAGGGGGAACATGAAACAAGCATATACCTAGAGTCTCCATGACCCTAAACAATGGGGTCATGGACCTATTTTTTTCTTGGGCCATGGAGACTCCAGGTATTCACATTTCAGCAAATGGAAGCCAAAGAAACCCGACGCGTCGGACAACACGGGGAAAACTCAGACTCCGAGGCCCTCGCTGCTTGCCTTGGTGTTGTCCTCGCGCCTGATGTCGGCGCTCCGACTTTCCGACTCGGCGGATACGGCGATCGTGAAAAGCGCCGAAGCGGCCTCCAGGTGTTCCTGTTCCAGTAGAGAAGTTAGTAATGTGGGACTCTCTTTAAGGCAACCCCCCCCCCCCTCCCCCCCTGAACAGTGGAACCTGTCGGCCGGAGCCTTTTTAGTGAAATCCTGGGGGTCTGGGAGGGATAGTACTTACTTTAGTATTGCCAATTCTACTTTAGTATTGCCAAAGCTCCCTCTCAGCTTCCCAGTACTTACTTTAGTATTGCCAATTCTACTTTAGTATTGCCAAAGCTCCCTCTCAGATTTCCAGTACTTATTTTAGTATTGCCAATTCTACTTTAGTATTGCCAAGGCTGGCTCTCAGCTTCCCAGTGCTTACTTTAGTATTGCCAATTCTACTTTAGTATTGCAAGGCTGGCTCTCAGATTCCCAGTACTTACTTTAGTATTGCCAATTCTACTTTAGTATTGCCAAATACCGTTTTTTCGGCAACCCCCGAAACCAGTTGGACACCAAAGAGGACCCCAAAACAGTCAGACTAAAGAGGATCATGGGCTCTTGTGGGCACCCCCCTTTGTGTGACTGTTTGCCCTCACTTTTTGTATATAAAGAAGTTATCTTAAATTTGATGGTTTGGGGACCACTTCAAGAAAAGGATGTCCCAATGTTTGCCAGGATTTGTTTGCCTTTTTGTTTGCCCGACTTGTTTGCCAAGTTTCGTTGCCCATATTTGTTCCAGGGTTGTTTTCGGCATTTTCCGGCCAAAAACTGTCCATAATAGAGGACCCCTAAAACAGTCAAACGATCCTGAATTACAAAAAAGTGTGTACACTAGCGGGTACTATTGATAAAGGAGGTCTAAGATTAAGGGTAGCAACTTGTTTTTTCCTGTAGTCTATTTCAGTAGGGGGTTCCCCTCCCCCAAAAAAGGGGAAAAGGGCGCTACTGGGGGACCTAGTTGTGCATGAGAATGTGTCCCTGTTCTCGTAGGGATAGATCACGCAACCTGTTGTCATTGAGAGTGGCCACTTGTTTCTTGGTTTTAGCGAACCAAGGAAACCATCCTTCAAACACAAAAAGATAGCTGGTTGTCTACGAAGGCTTGCCTGGATCCACTAGCCTTCCATGAAGAGGTAAAGATAGCAAAATGTGGCAAACTGGGTCGGGACCAATCCGCGGATCCGCGGCCGACGTTCCGTTGGGCTTCCTTTCGAAAAAACTTCTCAGCTCACCTGTCGGGTGTGTTGCGGCAGCTGAGTCAGAAAAAAAGGACGCCGAAGGAAACGCCAAGCAAGGACCCCAAAAGTGACTACAGAAAGAGCATGACGGTGATAACTTCATGTTGGTTTCAGCCCCTGAAAAGTCATACTGAGGCAGAAAGTTGCAACACGAGTCAAATTAGGTGCTATTTGTTCATTCCTTCTCTGCATCTTCAAGTTGCCGGCAGCCAGTGCACGAGCCTTCCCCGAAACATGGCGCTTCAACGGTTAAGTTCGGTTCTACAATAGAATTTGCTACCCGCATTGTGAAGCTCGGGCTTCGTTGATAGGCAAACACGTTGAGCTTTCGGTGGATACATGGATGTGGGTCAAAATTCAACTACCAGGGGACCACAGGTTATAGTCCTTGGTTCCATTTACCAGAGTTCCATTTTGGGGTTAGCCCATTTTTGACCCACCGCCACATTGCAAACCCCTCCAAACTCTGGACATCTAGTCTCAGGGTGTGGCTAGAGCCCAGTCGAGACTATAGAGGGCCACTTAGATGGGGGCCATGGTAGGGTCCCATGGTTTGGCTGTTCACAGGTGGTTTGTGCAAGCACCAACTTTGCACAATGTGGCCATGTGTCAAAAGCCAAATCGTACCCCCCGTGCACATCCGATTCAATCCAACCACTAAAATAGGAAGCCTAAAATGGGTGGCGAATTCACCGACCAACCAAAATGGGAGCCCAAAACGGTGTTGACCGGACATGTTGCAACCAGGTTCCAAAATGTAAAGAAAAGGTGTTCTTACCCCTTTCCGGGTGGCCTCCGGGGCCTTCGTTGGTCAGATTAAAGAAATTTGGGAAAAGGGAAACACCACTTTTGCCGCTTTTGGGGTCCCCGAAATCTTGAGAAACACCAGTTTATTTTTTTGAATATGCCTTGAACTACTCTACACATCGCATCACTCTTTTAGATTGGGCAACCAACCCTGGGGAAAAAGGAGGAGGGTCTCAGGGCGAGAGAGATCACCCGGCACCCACTTGGCCACCAGGTCAAGGGGCGTGTTTGCCATAGCACGAAAAACGGAGTGAAGTGGTCGCGCTGGTCCTCAGGCACGCGATGCGTGTATGCCAATGGCCATTGTTTTGGGTGACTTTTCTGAGTCAGAAGTCCCTATATTTACTCAGCTCTTGAGTGGATGGGCCAGAAAAAAACACTCCAAACTGTTTGTTTGCCTCTAAACTAGTCCTCCCAAAAAGTTTAAAGGTCCAGGAACTCAGGGACTGAGCTTCCCAACTCGGCTCCAACGCCATATTTCTCGCTGACTTTTCGGGTGCCTGAAAAAGGGGCTTTCGGCGTTCACCCCCTTTTGCACGGCGAATCGCGAATCGGGCGAATCGGGCGTCTCCGGCTGAGGAGCCCAGTTGAGGGTCTCATTGATCGGTCACAACATCAACCCCAAACTCAGTTGCCCAAAGGACCCAGAACTACAAGGTTAACCTTTTGGCACCTCTACTAAAAATGGACCAAAATGGGAAAACCAAAAGGTCAAAAGGTCGATTCGCTTTGGACAACTGAGCTAATCCGCCATCTAGGGCCTAGGGTGAAAGTTGATCCAACAGAGCCATGGCGGTGAAAGGGGCTTCAGGTAGAAGTGCGCTGGCTAATAGAAGGGCCAAATAAGAAAGGGTACCTGACTCGAGAGGACCACCAAAGGCTACAAACGCAGGAAGCAAGATAAAGCTATACTAAACCGGTACTAAGGCAGCACTCAGGAATACTAAACCAATAGTAAACCACTTCCAAACCAATACTAAGGCAGCAAATTCTCAACCAATACCAAACCAGTCCTAGCAAGTACTTAGTTTGAGACAACTTCGGGCTCCCCACAACGTGTTTCAGGGGGAAAGGGTCTCACCCCTTTATTTGTCAGTGGTCCACATTATCATCATGACCTCAGTTGGTCTTGAAGTCCTGCGGAAATCCATTCAAATTATACTCAGATGCCCAGTAGATTTGCATGGGAAAAAAGGACACCTTTTTTTGGTTGGTTGACTTTAAAGGGGAACACTTCCCAACAAAAGGAAGAAAGGAAGCAACTCACTGGGCAACTGGGTATATATATAAAGGCATGCCCGTGTCGTGCTTCAATGTGTTGAACATGGGTTTGTGCCAACAGGTCGTAAGCATCAGCGGGCGAGCTGCAGAAGATGGAGCAGAAGAGGCAGGAGAGGTACAAGCCGCAGGCAAGGCAAGGATGACAAAGGACACAAGCAGCAGCACGGCAGCAAGAGGAGTAGCAACAAAGAAGGAGGAGGAGGAGGAGGAGGAGGAGCAGCAACAGCAGCAGAAACAGCAACAGCAGCAAAAAGCAGCACAGGCAGCACCTGCATGTGATGGCGTGCTTTGTGCGTGCGTTTGTGCGGACGTTTGTGCGTGCGTTTGTGCGTGCGTGCGTGCGTGAGTGCGTGCGTGCGTGCGTGCGTGCGTGCGGGCGTGCGTGCGGGCGGGAGGGCGGCGGGCGGGCGTGCGTGCGTGCATGCGTGCGTGCGTGTGCGCGTGCGTGCGTGCGTGCGTGCGTGCGTGCGTGCGTGCGTGCGTGCGTGCGTGTGTGCGTGTGTGTGTGTGTTGGTTGTGTGTGTGTGTTGTTTCCCTCGTGCGTGTGCATGTTCGTGTTTCAATTTCATGTAGGTGCATGTGTGTCTGTGTGTGACTTGTGCGCGACTCTGTGTGACTGTTTTTGAGACTGTGTGTGAGACTGTGTGGTGTGTGTGTGTGTGTGTGTGTGTGTGTGTGTGTGTGTGTGTGTGTGTGTGTGTGTGTGTGTGTGTGTGTGTCTGCGTGCGTGACTGTGTGTCTGTGTGAGCCTGTGCGCGTGCCTGTTTCTGTCTCTGCGGTATCATTCTTGTTGGACGTCCCGAATCGTTTTCGATAAACACCAAATATAAAGTGTCTGAAATGCTTTCATGCATATAAAGAACCCGGTAATTGTTAACCGTTTGCAGTCCAGTTTGGAGCATACATTCCTCGAGCTGAACAATGGGCCGTGCCCGGAAAAAAAACTCAAATTGCCCAGGCCCAACCAAAAAACAGCTTGTATATCGCACGAGTAAAAACAAATAAGCAGGACTGCGGCAGGATCTTGATGGTGCGGCATGTTTCGTGGGTACTCTTTCTGGTCGGAACAAGGAAAAAAAGAGGAACACCGCCCATTTTGGTGAATCCTCTAGAGAACGATTTCAACGTGTGGTGCCTCAACGCGTTTTTTTTGTTTTGGGTTTTCTTCGTTTTCGGGGT